GGATTTTTGAAATATCAAATATATCGTGGCAACTACAACACTGTCGAATACCTGGAAAATTCTTTAATAATGCAATATGATATGATATTTGCAAACTGATCCCATTATAATAAATGCCGTTATAAAAAAAAAGAAAAATATTCAATGATTCAGTGGTAACAGTTCAAAGGTAAAATATATCAGTCCCAAATAAAATTTTAATATGTGTATGACTATTTTAGTAAAACCATTTTGATTTGTTTGTTAATTATCACGGCCTACTAATAAGAAAATGATATATTTTAAATATTGCAGTAATTAGTGAAAATAATTATAAAGTGATATATAGTTTTGAAAAGCTCATAGCAAGACGGATCAAATGGTTTATAAATATACAGGGTGTTCCATTTGAAAAAGCATAACTTTAGTTCATATTTTCAAAAGTATTTTTTTCATAGAAAAACAAACTACGTCACTGCATTCTACGTAAAAAGTTCTACAAGAATCAGTTTTCACCTTATCGATATCGTCCATAATAACGGAGATACGGGGGCTGTCCCAAATTGCAAAATTTTCAAAAAGACCCTGTAATTCAGAAACGAAGAGGGCTATGAGAATTTTGATTACAGCATCTTCCGTTTGACAAAAAAGTGGGACAGGTTTGTACAAACCGCATCCTCCTATCTTTACTAATAACAGAGGTACCGTATGATTTCAACCAAAATGGGACACCCTGTACATGTAAGTGAACGAACGTACATGTAAGTGAACGGACTGTATTAATTAAACGAAGCAAATCTTATGTCAAGAAGGCCTGGTTTGGGACCACAACTTACTAGGTCTGTTGACTAGGAAAAATTACGAAAAAATGTAAAAAAATGTGTCTTCCTCAAAAGCGAATATCTCCAACAAAAATAAAGTTATTAAGATGAATCAAAAAGTAAAACTATCGACAAAGAGGATATACCTAGATGATAAAACGATTTTTAAATTCTTTGCTGTCTTAACATATTCCACACGGTATTTTCCGTCTCCATGGATAGGAACTTTCCGGCCATGGATAGGAACTTTCATTTTTAATTTAGAAGGGGATACTAAAAAGTCAAATAATTTAGTTACACATTGCTTAAAACATCATCAAAATCGGCCCACTATAACAAAATAGATTAAACTTTAAAATACATCAAAATTTGCCCGTTTTTCGCGCCGGTGCACAGTGTGAAATTTTGACGTTCTAGGTGGAATTAATTCGATTTGCCAACTTTATCCCAGGTCCTAAGTTATTGTAAAATTTATTCAAGGAATGTCCATTCATCAATAAAAAAACATATGTTTATTTTTAAAATCAAGCTTATTATTTAAAAATGCTCATTACTTTATCTTTCGGACAAAACGATAAAATCATCTAAAATTCTAGCCCATTTAGTCAAATTTTGCAGGCGTTTTAGTGAGAAGTGTTTACTTTCACGGAATAACTACATTGATATGATTTTTATATTAGGCATACGTGGTAAGCTATCATTTTTTAAAAATATTTCTGCCTTATAGTTTGACTGAAAAGAAATGTTAAAGAAGTACCTGCAGTTACCTATGAAAAATTGTAATTTGGCTACTTTAAATATGTTTTTGTTACATAATACCACATAATACCACGGTAACTGTGTCATTTCTTGAAAGGCCACTTATTAAAGCATACGACATAAAAAAATTAGCTGCGTTTAGGTGCGCTTTAGCCATACATATATATTTTTTAAGATGGCTGCGCGCTTCACTCGTCAGGATGTATATGAGGTTTGTACTTCTAACACTCCAAAGAAGCGGCGAAGCGCTGTGGTGAATTTTATATTGGAACGCTTTGATTCTAGTAATCTTTCAAGAGCTGTCAAAGAAAATATAAGAAATAGATATTTTGTCAGAAAATCGAGAACAAATGGAAAAAGGCAAAATAGGCATAAACATATCTTCTTATCTAAAAATTCTGATTGGTTAACGGGGAATTTCGATTATCTGTATTAGCAAGAGTAAAAAATGAAAGAAAAACCTCAAATAGAGTCTCTTTGTGCGGTAAGGTTCGTCGAGAAATCAACAATTGATTATTTTATTTTCTTTGATTGTATGATTTTCTCCGATTTAGATAGTTTTTCCAAATCGGTTTGACCCACAAACATTTTATAGTGTATTTTGTTTGTATATAGTACTTTCTTATTTGCCTTTCTTATAGATTATGTATTTTGGTTCGGCAACGCCACATTTTGTAGAATTTTAGACACTCCGTATATTAAACTCCGTAGTTACTAACCTCAAAACTATTCTCTAATCAACAAATTTTTTTATTAAAAATAACATTTTATGAATCACTGATAATATAGTAAAAAAGTTTCCCATATATGTACCAAACATTATGAGAGACCCTGTATATGCCCTACTACGATTATTTTGGTGCATGGTCTACCTTGCCTTGATAAAATTTCTTATATAAAAACGAAAAAGACTAATATTTCATTAAAAGAGTCGCTGAAATATTTTTTTCCAGCTACAACCCGTAAATTTCACACTGTGCGGTGAGTGTATTTCGTTTATTAAAGTACTTGTGTAAGTGTATGTAAAGTGTTTTCAGCGCTATTTAAATATTTACTTTGTTAAATTCAATATTTTTATCTAAACTTAACCTTTTACCTTCATTATTTGCCTCTAGCTTTATCGAATACATGAGTGTTTTAATTCAATATTTTATTTTTGTCGATTTAATTTCAATAATATTAAGTTTAGTTTGAATATTTACTAATTTGAATTAAATAAAAATATTCATATTAGATTTTTAACATCTATTTACATTAACCTTTTCTTTACTACTTCTTACAACTTTTGACTTGCAAGGGAAATTCGTAGATACATGTTTAAAATTTTCCCGCAGAAAGATATAAAACAAAATTCATAAATGTTTATATTTTGATTAAAACACTAATTATGAAGTGAGGCCAAGGTTTCCCATTTTTTAATAATGCTGTCACTTATACCGGATGATCGAATAAAAACGGTGTCAGCGATGGCTATGACATGAAGATCGCTGTCATTTTATATGTAAAATCGAGTGTAAAATTAAATGGGAAATGTTATCGATCGTCATTTCATAGCCATCGCTGACGCTGTTTTTATTCGATCATACGGTATTACGTTTTGACAAAACTTTCATTCTTTAACAACTTTCAATATACTTAAATATAAATTAAATATTTTTATTTCAATATTCAATTTTATTAAATATGGTTGAATATCACTTACAGGGTGGCGTACTTCATTCGCCTCGGTTGCTTCTATGGAAACGGAAATATATAGAAACAAAATATTTAAATACGGGAAGACAATGTGCATAATTTAAAATTATTTTGAAATATACAGGATATGTCAGAATTAAGATCCACACCAAAGTTATATTTTTTCTTATGGAACACCTGGTATTTTATTTCATATTTGGATCTTGGAACACAAAATAAAGCAATTATTATAAGGGTTAAAAATGTTTACAAGTTTTGGTGTTTGAGATATTTAAATATATTTAAATATGCCATGCAATACTAAAAAAGATTTCCAACACCCTGTACACTGCTTTTCAGAATTGATTCTTGTGCTGACTTTTAAGTCAAAGAAATAAGCTTGTAAGCTGAAAAATGTGATTGCTTTGTTTAATGTATACAGGAGTGTGAAAAATTGCTGGTCTATTTAAATATTTATTTTGTATAAAAACTTTATTATTTCAAGTACAACACCCTGTATTTTTTTAAATAAATCGTAGCAGATTCAAATGCTCTTTCAAACTATACTAGGGTTTCCTATATCAATCTAGCTCAGATTTTGAATCAAGAGCAATTTTTCAATAAAATGACAACCAAAAGGGCTAGTGTCGTCATGGCAAGGTTTCTAGTGATAGTTAGTGGCTATTTTCAAAATCGAAATTAGTTTATGGACTAATAATAATGAATTGAAATAATAATTTCAAAATATAATTTAATCATATTATTATATCAGTTTGCTTTTATTTAATTTACCTACAATAGTTTAATAAATAATATTTATTAAATATGTATTTATTATTATATCAAGAAAAACGAAGAAGTAGTTCTTTGATTGATTTTACAATGACGCAGATATATGGATTTTCTATAAAAGAGCCAATTATTGCAAATTCATTTTCTTCATTTCCAACGATAGGTTTCTGCCTAATAGTTTTTTTTATAAACCACACTACCAACTCTGCGAAATAGGACTCGAATAATTCGAAGTAGTTTTTCAAATAAACGCTTATTAGGAAAATTCCTATTTGGATATTTTTGAGTATAAACCCCAGAGGCCAAGAACCAATTTCCCCACAAAATAAAATCACTAGTAACATATCCATTCATTCCGCCAGCACATACCGCTTTATTTTTCTTGATAAAATAATGAATACTTACATATTAAATTATTGTAGGCAAATTTAAGTAAACTGTCCAACTGTCCAATTGTCCATACACTGCCATACACTAATGTCGATTTTGAAAATAGTTACTGTCACTAGAAAATTGCCATGGCGACACCAGCCGTCTTGATTGCCATGCATTTTATTGAAAAATCGCTTTTTATTCAAAATCTGACCTGGATAGATATAGGAAATTTTAATATAGTTTGAAAGAGCATTTGAATCTGCTTCTATTTATTTAAAAGTACAGTGTGTTGCATTTGAAATAACAAAGAAAATAAAAAAATACAAGTAAACAGCCAGTAAGAGGAAGAACATGTCTTTTGGATTCTAAACTCAGCAGTGTTTAACAGAATAATTAAACTAATCAGGACTATTTTTAGTTCTCTATTTTAGTGGCGAAAATAAATATCTAGCTGTCTATAAAATCTGTTAAGTTTAATTTAATTTCTATGATAGACTATTTATAACGTTTATAATAAAATATAGAGCTCTCTTGTTTCTTTTTGTTGTAGTACGTTTAGAAAATACACATCACTTGCAATTTTACTTCTTTACCGCTTACCTCTTCAGGGATATCTATTTTAAACGGCCTGACAGCTACATCGTCTTTTCTGGAACTTCCAGGACCCCACCATGTATTTTCCACTTGGGGTAATGGTGGTACATGAGTTAGTTTCAAGTAAATAAATCCCAATCCAAGCGCAAACGATAGAAACAACAACGGAAGCTTCGCGCCCATGGTAACGCACTAAATTTAACTATCACACTGTTTTGACTGCTTTGATCGTCTGCTTAATAATATTCGTGTTTATACAGATTATTTTTTAAGTCACGGTGAGAAGCTGTTATGCGGTAATATTGTAAATCAATTTCGTTGATAGCGTTTGGAGTGCTTGACGATTGTATAAGTCTGTCGATTCCAGAGGTGGAGAGTTAAAAGTCGTTGACTTCAAATTTCGATAATAGTAAAATACAAAAATTATGATAAAAACTAATTTAGATGACGAAAATGTGCATCGTTATCACTTTTAAGTTATTTAATACATCAAACCTTTTTTTTTACTTGAATTTAGATGACGAAAATGTGCATCGTTATCACTTTTAAGTTATTTAATGCATCAAAACTTTTTTTTTTACTTGAAATCACTTACACAAAAAAAAACAACAAAACAACTAGTATACCGGGTGCGTCTCGAAAGTGGCTCACCTCCATAACTTTTTTATTTTATTATACAAAAAACGAAATTTTTTGGTATGTTAGTATATGACATAAATGAGGATTGATTCACTTATTCAATTGTTTTTGGTCACTTCCTGTTTTACCGAAAATAACGACAATTTTTGATTTTTAAATGGCATCCTGGGTATATTTCTACTTTATATAAAATGACACTCTGGATATAATGACATATCATATGTCAATTTTTGACATTTTCGTTTAAAATAGAATCAAAGAATCGTATTTTAAATTTCAATTTAGAGTGCCATGCCTGTGTTAAAAACATTAATTTTCAATCAAGGAGCCTTGGGAAAATAATTTTGATCGTCTAATGTTTTTTGTGTCTTGCCCAGGCTGGTTAAAAGATGCCCAAATCGTACTCTTAATCACATCTCAATTTTTTGAACGAGGGTGGCTCATTATTTGGAAAAAGCATTTTTTACGAATAATTTAATACCACATACTTGGTATTTCAAGTCAAATTATCGTTATGAAAGGTACGTTATAATTTCCAATAAACCATATGCGAAAATATCAATAGTTGACATGTGATATATATCATTCTATTCAGAGTGTCATTTTCTATCGAATTAAGTAAAAATATACCGAGGGTGTCATTTATAAATCAAAAGTTGTAGTCATTTCCGGTGAAACCGGAAGTGACCGAAAACAATTGAATATGTTAATCAATCCTAATTTATGTCATATCCCATACAGCACATAAAATCACATTTACGATGTGTATACATTATTAGATGCAGACACAGGGTGACACAATTCCCCCGATGTAAATATGCTACTTTTACACATTGTAGTTCAACACGTATACACAAAGGTTAAACGTCCGCCTCACAATGTAGCCACAGTATAGCATTTACGTATACACAAAGTAAGGGATACACAGTGTGCCGTAGGATACATAGTGCTTGTGTATTACGTTTAAACTCTGTTTACACATTGCAGTTGTGACTACCGCGTGTATACGTATGTATTTTGCTTCGTATACCTAACCATCTTGTGCTAGATAAAACTACTTCTTATATGAAGGAATTTAGGAAATAATACAAGTTCTGATGCCTACCTTTTCGTTCTTTTTCTTTTTAAGAATTCAATGATCCCAATTATATCTTTTTAGAACGAAAATTAGGAAGGCAAAACTTTGTATTTTTCAATAGAAAACACTGCAAAAGAACAGAATTTGTATCAAAATGTATTAACAATATAAGTACCTCCTATAACAACATACTAAAATGGTAAACACTGGTATATCGCTACGATTTGGTGGACCTCGTTCAGTAATTTTTTCTCCTCTTTTCCTTCCAAACAGTTGGTTTGTTAGCATACACATTCATCGAGCACTCTGTTGGACTTTGTTGTATTTTATTTCCAGATTAACAATCTCACCCTTAAATTTTATATGAAACTGATTATTGAATATTAAACATATCTGTATATTGATCCGTCAATAACTTACCGAATATCAGTGTAAGAAGTTCTTTGAAGTGTTTAAATCTTTCTTTCTCTGGTCTATTTAGATTTTTATTATTTCCAAATTAAAAAAAATTATATTGCAGAGCTAACCTCTTTATCATTATACGAGAATATTTGGAGTTTTCATTCATTGGAGTCAAAATTTGGTAAATTGGGTATCGAGTACGGGAAAAGTCGCTATATAATATTAATAATACTCTTAGGAAGGTGTAACAAGGCAATTAAAAACTTGTGCTTACCTTTAAATCTCTTTTAAACTACACACAAACAGAACATTTATATAGAGCTTCCGAATGATAAAACAATAATAGCTGCTAACACATACCACTGCTAGAAAGGAGAAAGGTACACATAAGATACACTTGGTCGGTGTATCTACGCTGAGGCTATCCGCGCGTGCGCACACCTTCATTTCATGCTAGAATGTAGACACAACAGTACACTATTACAAAGTGTCTATATAGATATTTATATTATGTCTATGCGTCACATTTTTACAAGGTGTGTACTATAAGCACAACTATGATACGAAGTATCACACATACGTATGACTTATACATTGTATGTTTCATATACCGACGTCAGATTTCATTATTTTAATAATTATTTGTTACGTTACAAAAACTCTTTAGAATCCTGTGTGCACACGGTATACAACTAGTAAACACTGTTCACACAATTCTATCAATATAAACCTGCGTGTATCTCATATGTATATGTTAGAACTAGATGAACACTTAGGATCACTTTAACATATTTTGTTTTTCATGTGTCTCCCTTGTAGAAACGTAATTTCATTTGGACGTGCTGTATGGGATAGTAACATACCAAATCTCGTTGATTTATCTGAAAAAATAAAAAAGTAATAGGGGGTGAGCCATTTTTGAGACGCACCTGGTATACACCCGTTTAGTTAATCGACTTTCTTGTATTGTGTAGATATATTTATTAATATCAAAATTATAACACTTAATGCAAAAACATATATTAATAATCTTATACTACGATAATATTGATAGTTAATATTGTGTTTTTATTTGGTAGTTTCTTCGCACGCCTATGACTATTGTTTACTGATGAAAATACTAATGTATAGTCCATATTGCCACCTTGAACCCATGTACCTTCCTGATTAATTTTAACGAGTAACCGAGTTGTATTAAATATTTCATTCTAAAATTAGATAGTATTAGACTCGGTAATAGAAAATAACAAGTCATTCAACAATTTGCTGGGCCACGATGATAAAGGAAGATTACATATTAATATTTTATTCAGATTTGATTTCTCAGCGGTTTAGAGTAGACAGCTATTATTGTTTTCTAATTAATAATATTTAATTTTGATTTGTAATGATGTCATCCAAATATAAATGAAAAATTTGATAGCAGAACATTATTTAGAACTAGAAGCAGAGCCACTACACGTCGTACGCGACGTACGGATTTATACAGGGTGAGTCTTAAATAAGTGCAAATATTTTCAGGTGGTATCTCTCTATAAAAGAAACATATTTTCTCTTATCATTTTTCAAGTAACTCCAAAATTACCGAGTTAATTAAGTTTGAAAATTTAAAAAAAATTGATTTTTTTGAAAAAATTTTGAGAGCCACCGGGTTTTTTTCTGTATTTGCATCCCTTTTAGTGCCGTAACCATAGAGTAAAGCCGTAACTATGGTAATATTAGAGATAAAGAAATTATACCGTGGGAAAATTTGCGGTGAACAGGCAGTTCTAGAAAGTTTTCGAAAAATATACAGTGAAATTTAAAAGAAAATGTACGATTTTCAACATCTTTTTTTGCGAAAAAGACCTCATAGACGTATTCCTGGGGTCGAAATATACCACCCATGAAAATATTTGCACTTATTTAAGACTCACCCTGTATCGATGAATTATTTTACGGCTAAACTTTAATTTAGCCGAAATCTGTTATATAAAAAATGACTTTATATATAGTCTGTCCGATGACAAGATCCTTGACAGTGATAGATCTGTCTGTCATTTTAATTTCAAAGTAGTTTATTTTATTTTACAAAGAAATAAGTTGGTACAATTGGAACGCATAGCAGAAAATTAATATACATATTTAAAATTTGAGTGACAAGTGATTACTTCAAAATATTGTGAAAAAAACAGTATGTGTTAATACAAAACAAAAAAGAACAAAACACTACATACCGAAAAATTTAAAAAAGAACTATTTCTTACAAGAAATAGTTCTTTTTTAAATAGCTATAAAGAACTACTTTTTTCAAGCTTGAAGAAACTTCCCGCATTTATTATTATATTTATTAATATAACTTACGTACAAATACAAATTTGTAATATTCCACAGGAATAAATAAGACAACATAAATAAAACAAATTATTTTATTAATAATAACACTTACCGAATTTTATACCTTAAAGGTTGATTAATTAACTTTCATCTTAATTTTTTTAAACCAGTACCTTTTGACATTATTTTTCTGCAATACTAAAATCCATTATTTACGTATCGTGTGATGTCGTTATTTACAGCTACTCCAGTTTTTAGTATGTTTAGTACGATCCTTTCACTATATACACGAGATGCACTTATCTATGACGAGATGGTATACAAATTATTTGTATACTTTATTGGCGTATAAGACTTTCTGCCTGACCACCGAGTAACTCTAATTGTGCTCTGGGTCTTCAGTTAATTTTCCCTCGATTTTTCCTCCGCTTGACTTCAAAAGACAAAACACACGTAATAATACGAATCAAAATACATCATCTTCCAAAACGCAGGGTATTTGACATAAGTTGTACAACTTATGTCAAACTTTGACAAGCTTCAAAAATCTAAAGGCGAATTTATACGCATCAGCGTCCATTTATCGTTCATCGTTCCGTCAAACCAATAAAATTGAAATAAGATCTCTCATTTTTGGAATAAACCAATAAAACTGGTTAAAGACAACAAGAGACGACGCATGACGGATTTATATTTAAACTCATCCATAGTTAACTTAAAAAATATTAGAAACTTTTTTTAGTAAAATAAATAGATTGGTATGGACGTCATCTGCTTTTCTTCTGTCATCGTCTGTCGAAATCTTACCTGAGAAAAAAAAACAGAGTATATACGTTCTAGAAGGCGTTAGGAGTACAAATACACAAAAATTTTTCTGCGGAAATGCGTCA